AAAAATATTCTCCATGCTCTGGTGCAGTTGGAAGGGTCGTCCTCCAAGACCAGATAGATATCACATGTGGGATCGTAATACAAACCAAGGTGCAAAAATTAATGTTTGAGCGATGGGGCGAGACACTCGCCATGGACTTCACGCACGGCGCCAACAATCTGGGATATCACTTGGGTACGTATTTTACAGCAACCTTTGAGCAACCTTATTTGGTTATAGCAACCTTCCAGCAACCTCAGTATGGCAACTGTGTAGTAGAACGTCAAATTCTGGTTTTGTTATTAAATTGCAGGGAGTCTTCTGGTGACTACAGCTACTGGAAGGGATTCCCTGTTCTAGATTTCATCTGACGGGATCACCAGGCTGTCACTATTTTGGCTATCCTTACTTACTTCAAGGAAAAGAATCCTGGGTGGTGTAACATCGTGTCAGTCGTGATTGATAAGGACTTTGTAGAATGGTGGGTACTGATGGCAGATGCCAAAGTTGTGCTGTGTCAGTTTCACGCAATTATTTATTGGAAGAAAGTAATGAAGCGATCAAAGTTCCGCTTGACTATTTCTCAACAGGAAGACCTCATCGCATTGATGACACGGCTGTTATACTGGTAATACTTCGTGTATTTAGCATTTTTTTAGATTACGATCTAACTCCCTTTTTCAATGTTTACAGCTCCAGTGAGACTGACTACGACACACGGTATGATGCATTAAGGCGTTATTGTGAAGAGCAGAAACGACGAACGATTTTCACGTATTTTGAAAAGAATTGGAATTCGTTCCGGGATAGGTGATCCAATTTTTCTCGTAGCAAGTTTTTCACGGCTGGAAATACGACCACCAACCGTATTGAATCAAATTGGAACCAAGTTAAAATGCTTTTGTGGCACAAAACTCGGATCGACAAGACAATTACGTGGCTATTTCAACATCAGATCACTATCGCGCATAAGATCGCTTCTACAATTGGTCAGCATAGCTCGACCACACGGGTACCGAAGACCGTTCCTCGGTTTCTGAGAGGTGTTGCCACCAGATTGTCTACGAACATACTAACAACGCTTAAGCAAAAGTGGGAACGGTTTGTAACGCTTATGGACGATGCAAAATGCGAACAAATCGCATCAAGTGTCTCCGGTTGGAAAGTCCACTGTTTCAATGAGACACACAGATGCGACGACGTTGAGTGGACATGTACATGTTTATTTTACAGCAGTCATCATTTGCCATGCCGCCATTTAATGTACGTGGCTGACAAGGAGCATGAATTCGAGCTACTTCCTGCTATGTCGATCGGTGAACGATGGAGCATGTCATGTGCGCTGGATGTCAGGGATGATTTAGCGGCGGCAGCAGCCACATTGCACCCAATTGTGTTAATGTCAAAGCTAAAGTCGCCCAAGATAAGGTCGCCGTATAAGTCGCCGAATGGGCCACCGTATGCGTCGCCGTACGATGAACAGTCTAAGGAGACAGGAGTTCAAAAGCCGATAAAAGAGGTGGTATACGTTCGCCTTCGCCGTAACGAGCGCGCACATCAAGTCGTATTATCGTCGGCTGAAAAATACTCCTACGCTGCTGGAACCTCTTCTCGACCATTTGTCAAGTCTGTCAAGTGCTGAGTTTTATCAAGAACTTAATACGTGGAAAGAAACCATAGAGTTGGGATTAAAATGCGAGAAGGCTAGGCCGGTTAATTCCGACCAAAATATCACTGATGATGAAACTGAAAGTGATTCTTCTCTTACATTTGATCCTACAGACGCAATGGATACAGTGAAACTAATGCGGAAATTTGAGAACGAACCCGTGAGCAATGGTGATCGCACCAATGATGATAGCGAGCTGGAGGATGACGTACCGCCAACGCAGACTACGGAACCAGTTCAAAATGGGGAAGAATACGAGCTACCATCACCTAAATCAAATGGCTCAGCAAAAGAATCACCAGCGTCGCTTGAGATATCGATTAAGGAGGAACCCTGTCCAAGCGAGGAACCAAAACCTATTGAGGTTACGACAGAGACAGCTGTGCGACAGGTAGATATTGTTAATGTACCGAAACCAAAACGCAAAGGAAGCCGCGAATGCAGCTCAAGCAGTCGAAACTTCCACGAGGGACAGACCGTCTAGCTGTTCACAAGTATCCAAGTCGTTTAACAGTATCATTGAAGGAGCTGTTAACTTGGGCAAAGAACGCCCCTAATCTGAAGGATGTTCTGGAGATGTTGCAGAAATATCCTGTTTAGCTGGGAGACCCTTACCTTCGAGCTCGGTCGATGGAGTGCCACTAGGAAGTGGTGCGACCCTCAGACTACATGCACACATTTGTTATTCCTGCTGATCTAGCTAGAACAGTTTAGGTCATGGCTGTAGCAACCAAGGTCGATCAGGTGTGCCCCGGCAAACTTGACAAGAACATGAAGAAGCAAGGTCTGAAGAACGACGTCGTCATCACCATCGACCCCAAACTATGGCAATTCAGCGGGTAAGGTTGCTATATAGTGATGGTTGCTTTAAAAGGGTTGCTTCAATACGGTTGCTTTACCAAACCTTACAGATTCAAGCAATTGTCTAACAGAACACTTTCTTGTGTATTTCCAGAGATTATGCCTGTACCTTGATCGCGTTCTACGATATGAAGGCTAACTGCAGATCGTGGATTGAAGACAGAAAGTGGCTGAGCAGGACTGGAGAAAAATCGATTCTGTGATAAAGGTTTTTGATGTCGCAACGAACACAGCTGGACTTGCACAGGATGCTGTCCGTATCCGGCACCAAGAGCTTGCCAATGACGTTATTTCAAAATGTGCATCCAGCCCACTGCGCACTACATTTGTGACGCGTTCAAATACTCTGTGGCTCGGATTTGACAACATAATTGGTGCTCTATGTCGAGGCTGGTTGAACGATAGCGCTGTGGAATTCTGTCTGGAGACAATTGCGGGATCAATTGGACAGTCGCTCATGCTTTCAACCTTGTTGGGAGTGGTGGGCTGGCCAACAACACCGAAGTCACAAATACTCGACACAAAGTTCATGGTTCACTCAGTGAATTTAAGTGCAAATCACTGGGGTCTCATAACGGTGCGTCTGTATTGCGATGTCGCGACTAAAATTCTACGGGTACAAGTGTTCATGTACGAACCACTCATCGACGGAGAATATCGAGAACAAATGATTGCAGTGTGGGAAGGAACTATGAAACACAAGGGAAAGAATAATGTGGAAGAGAGTGAGGGGAAGGAGGGTCTTATTGACTTTGTAAAACGCTGGCATTGTGCATCTGCCAGTGGATACCAGATTACAATAAGCCCGGTGGAGTGGATCGAGACGCCGCAACAAGCTGATGCCGTCAGCTGTGGCGTCCTTGTCGTAGGACAAGCGTACAGCTCGCTTACAGAGAGTATGTTACTACAGAAACACAGAGTCTCGAAGAGGGATGTGAGTGTTATGCGCCTGAGAATGATCTGAATGGTAGTATGTCATTCCAAAGAGTGCTCCATCTTAGTGTATGACGCAAATAAGGCTAATCGAATTCGCGAGCTACTACAGAAGCAACTAGGATGGTTAAAAGATATTTGTCTTTCAAGCCCAATACAGTTTGCTATCTCTGTGGTGCTTATTTCTGCTTCGCTAGCTTCTTCACCAATATTTCTAGTAACATATCAAATGATTGTATTTCCTCGTCGGTTTTGCCAATGGTGCGGTCGCCTACAGTCTCCGACAGCTCGTAGGTTCGCTCTTCATGCTTCTCCACCCAGGCCTGAAGCTCAAGTTGAGGCTGCATAATCACCTTCAGGCCTGTGCTGATTTGCTCCAGCTTCTCTCTCATTGTGGAGAGGTCAGCAAGTCGGGCACGCACCAGATCACGCGCCAGCGAGGTGTCGTTCTTGACCCGTTGTTGATGATGTCCTTGGTGAGTGTATGCGCCCTTCTGCGAGTGTCTTTATGAGTGTGTGATCTCGAGCAAACTTAGCCGATTTCTCTAAATTTCAAAGCCACGTCAAAACTAGTCCCGAGGCGTCATTTACTATATTATAGATTGCACTTTTCTAAGGTTGCTTTAGCTTTGGTAAGGTTACTAGAAGTGTTGCTTTTGTGATAAGGTTGCCATAATTTCCGTCGTCAGCTCGTAAATCATGAAAGTTTGGGTTGCGGTAACGCCATTCGATCATGCTCCGCCTCATGTCGACTCTGATCTACAACGCGTATCAATCACATCAAATATTCGAGATACGGCTTCTTTACAAGTATTTTCAATAAAGTTTTACTTTTTTTTCTCCTCGTTTTGCGTAGCTACTCATTCTTGAACGATACAATATGCTGTTGTACGTACGCGTCGTATCAGAATCACAAACAAAAGCTGCCCAGCTTTGGATCGTTTTGCCGTGATTCTGCCAAGTGTATTGGCTCCTGTTCACCCGCACCTGTGCTCAGGGGCCTCAATCAATCCCCAGAAACGATACGGTCGGTGATTTAGATAATCCTGGCTCCAGCTACAAGAAACAAGCCCACTTCAACTCCGATCCAAAACCACATACGCCAGTGGCTATCAAAACGAATTCAACATGTGCAGTTAAATGTTCCTAACTCAGAGGATCTACCTTGAGTGCGACGGAACCTACAAGGGCGTCTGAAATGGCAAAATAGGTTCAAATTGATGCCAAAGCGCAGCTGTGCTGTGTGATGTGCTGCGCACTAAACCACGACGCCGAAAATGTTGGTCACAGCCGCAAAGGCTTAAAAACGCGGTTCAAGTGCAGCAAAAGCGCTGTTGCAATCTGTCGAGCTCCTTGTTGGAATGGTGAGGAGACTTGCTTCGCAAAATTCCACAAGGCTAACGAGCTACCGGACACTTGCAGTGTTCCAGAGCAGCTCGTCTCAATGCGCAAAAATGACAATCGTGCTCCACCACCATCTCGCAAAAGGCAACATTCGTCGCTAGATACCCCAAATCGACGTTCAGGCAACGTCCGTATCCAAACGCAAGAGCGCCGACGTTCACTGCGCACACGCGAGCAGCAGTAGTGAGAGATGCCGGTATTGTCCTTGAAAATAGGTCGAATTTTTGTCCTTATGTTAAGGACAAAACAGGTGTAACAGCGGGCACTTGACGTCTAACCTCTACGATACAATATGAGTCACTACGTTGACAAACACGTTCTTTTAATACTATTTTCTTCGTTGGCATGTTATTATCTTTATGAGATCCGGTATTTGATTTATAGACATCAGATGAGGTCAAACGAAGCTGCTACGAATTGGTCCTAGTATTTGTCCTTAACTTTAGCGGTGTT